TTAAAAATAACATCTTGAGAGAAATATTAACACTCTCAAGCTTTATATGCAAATTGGTTATGCTTGGTCACACTTCTCGATCTGTAGCCAAATCAGGTCAGGACTTTTTTGTAGTAAACAGGGCAAGTCTCTCTTATGTTGAGAAAATGAATGTCTCAAACTAAAATTCTTCACATCACCTGCTATTATTTTATTAAGTTAATTTGTATATATTCAAATACTTTATGTATAACTTTTGCTTTTCTTGTGATATAGGATAATTATTGTTAATACATTACATTAAAAACAGTATTTTGTCTTAAAAAGTTAAAATGCTTGGTTAGGTTGTATTCTATGTGTATTAGGTGGTTGAGTTGTATTATTCAGTTGAAATAACTTTGAGTTGTATTATTTAGTTGTATTATTAAGTTGAAAGCTTTAATTATAATTTTCAGATGGAATAAACAAACTAAAGCGGAGAAGTTGGCAACACCTTTTTATAAAAAGATTAACTCAACTGATTGCATAATTGATGCAACTAATGATATGAAACAATAAAGATGATGATTCAAAAGACAATACTCAACTAATTTTAAAGAAGTTGACTTTTAAAACGGTAATTAGATTGTTGTTGCCAAAAATATGCAATGCTAGCAATAATTAGAAATGGAAAAAAAAAGAGTTGTAATACTAAAAAACTGTTTTTTGAGTATTGATATCTATTTTATGGATATTAAAAATGATTGATTTTTTTATTATTTATTATTTTATGCAGATTTTATGAAAAAATTACTAACCACTTCGAAAGCATTAAAGATAAGAAATGTACCAGAAGTACATAAAATAGAGGATTCAATTATGCCTTATTGACAAATAGATGAATTGATATGTAAGTCCCAGGCCTAGCATGTGACTTATAGTATTTGCAAAGCAAAGGATATTAGCCTTCAACATTTGAAGTCAAACTTATTTTAAATCAAAATAATTTCAAAAAGAGCAAGTAAGTTCAAAAAATTAAAAAAGCGTGGTGAATTTTGCAAATGTAAAAATTCAACAGATAAAAAGTTACTTTGTAGACCACAAATATTTTTAAAATATAGTTATAAACAATTTTTAATAAATTTTTTATTTTTATACTTTTACATATTTAGAGGAATTTTTATACAAACTGTGTGATTTATCGAGCTTGCATAGAGCTTCTGCAGCTTTTATATAAGTTTTCAAGCATTTATATCTTGACATAAATCTTCCTGTTGTTTTTTTGAAATAGCTTGAAACTTTTCACAATATTAAATTCATTAAAAATGTTTGTGGGTCGTTTTTTTGTGAGGGTAGTGAGAGGGGGTTTACTTGATAAAGATTTTCTAGCTGGTTTAAATCTTACTTTATTTGCGATTGATTCTTCGGTTTGTTTTGTAAAATCTGGGTCAACTCTGGTTTATATATTACTAAATTAATTTGATTAATTTATAATTAAAAAGTCTAATTCAAAAAGTATGTTTACAATATATCTAATAGACATTTTGTAAACATATTTTTTACAAAACGTACTTTTTAAGTTCATATAAAAATATTTTTTAAACACACTTTGTTGAGACTTTTCTAACAAAACTCGAAATAAAAAATTCTGTTTCCTTCAAAGGAACAAAACTTTTTAACATGGTACCTTCGGATATTAGAAATACAGCAGAACAATTATTTAAAAAAAAATAAACAACCACTTTTTTTTAAGGCAGCTATAAAGTACATTTTACTAATTTTAATACTTTTTATACTTTTTGTTATTTTTAGATATTTATAATTTCTGTTTTAAGATTTATTTTTTAAACAGGACTTATGTTGATAACAGTTTTTATAACTGAAAGTGTATATCCTGTATAAATATCATTTTAATAATATTTAATAATAAAAAACACAAAAATGTTGATTTATTAACCATGTTAACTAACTACATAGAATATTTAGGAAGCACCTATTCTATTTTAAATCTCAACCATCTATTTTAAATACAATATAACATTTTAACTTTTTAAAACTTTTTAATGCTGTTTTTAATGTAATGTATTTTGGATTAAAATATTATTCTTTATGTAATGTACTATTGGATTTTACAGTTTTCCATAATGTCATTTCCATGGTTATTTTGTGTATATTCTTTTCATAACTTTATCTTCTGCTTCCAGACTAATGACAAATTTTTCTAAATTTGCGTAGTTTTTCCTTCCTACCTTTTCTACTGATTCTTCACTCCTACTTTTTTGACATTTTCCTAATTAGTTTTGACATAAACTTCAATGTGTAATTTTAACTGTAACCTAGCATCACCAACTGGGTTATTCCATATGAAATCACCTAGTTTTTTGAGTGTGTCCCAGAGTACCACTTCAGATTTGCTTCAAATTTTGACCGCCCACAGGTTTTATGAAAAAAAACAAATCTATTTTTTTTTTTTTTTTTTACTCTTGACAGACCTTTGTAGATGAAAAAAGGTGATCACCTGAAAAATTGTATAATAATAGTTTTTTTACCCAAATAATTTTTGCAGTTGCTTTTGACTGAATTTTAACAATTTTTGAGTTATTGTTCCTTAAAGGTGCTAAATAACACAATATATAGAAAAGTTATAGAAACTTTAATGTGCTACATCTTAACACCTACAGGCAGATCAAAATAATGTGTGAAAAGTTAGTTAAACACTTGCAGAGGCCTGTTAAAATAACCCTTTTTTGAAAAATATGATAAGTTGCATTTACTCTGCAGGCCTAAAAAATAGAGTAAACAGTTAAAATAAATTATGAATTTTTTTTTTGTGGAAGTTTTATATATAGACATTACCCGAAAAAAAAAAGTTAAGACCAATACTCTATCTTGAGAAATAATTTTATTCTTTTAAGCGCAATGCTTTTTTAGTTTAAAAAGAGACTTAAAAAATAACATATTATATTGCAAATACAATATCTCTCTACCTGCTACAAAACTGTGATGACTGTGCTTATATCTTCATATATTATTTTTGGAGGTTAAAATAAGTAATATGTTATTAATATAATGATTTGATAAAATATTCTAACATCTTCTAACACCCATGTAAGCAGTTTGTGTGGTGCCAGAATCTGATTTGTAATTGCTGCTCATAGACTCGCTATTGCCACTCCTCCTCTTCCACTACTTAGGTTTGTAACATGGGACATAGTAAAGAAGTGGTAACAGGATTTATATTGTGATCTTGGTAAGGGATTGTCTATAAATTACGCAACGCTAAATTTCACTAATAAACGAAATAAAAAAGGTAAATTGTTTTACCTTGCAGAGCCTTAAGTTAAATAAAAAATCGAAACAACGCATAAGTATAATAAAATTTGCAGCGTAAAAGAGCTAAAGATCTCCTACTTCTATTTTTTAAATAAATTTAGTGTTACGTAATTTATGGACGATCTCTAAGGTGTTACATTGAGTTTAATAGATATTTGTAATTTTTGTACTGTGACACAGCACAAACACTGAAATTACTTTTTGTGGGATTGTGGGTAGTTTGATTTTGACCATTAGGAGTAACTTAGTAAGAAAACTATGAACTGATGTTTCTTTATGGTGAAGATGGTCAGAAATTATACAACTTAGAAATTATACAAAAATTATACATTTACATTCAAGTTAATCTTTTTAGTCTTTGTAATAAGTAGCAAATGAAGGTAGCTTGATCAGCTTGCCAATAAAACCCTTGACACATGTGTTGATTTAATGTGATTTTTGCCTCTGAAAAGTAGGTAGATGTGCTTCTTAGATAAAATGGTGGTAATAAAGATCATACAAAGTTTTAGAGTTTAGACAAACTCAATAATGCTTGCTTGGATTGTTACTACAAGTATAGTTTGGTCAAGTAACACCCTTTGTTTGTATGTGATCTGATCTTCAAAATCAAAATGATTTTTTTAAAACACATTTTTTAAGTGTATTTTCAAATTTAGTTTCCCAGGGCAGTCGAAACATAAATGAAACATGCAGCTTCGACTATCTATATAACAAACACATAATTTCATCGAGTCTTTGTAATATATTGAAAGGCCCTGAAGTAAAGTAGAGCACATCAACATTTTGATAATAAGAACATTGAAAAACTTGACGTGACTTTTACTACTGTCACTGTGAATCCAACTTTGTGTTTAAAACTCAAGATAAAGTTCCTCTAAACAAATTATTATTAAGCATTTTTGATTGTGAATTTTTATATTATTTATACACACAGAAACAGTCTTTTATTCCTGGACAGTGAAGTCCTGGACATTGTCTTGTGAACTCTTTAGATTCATAAATTTCAATGACTTTCTGTTAAAAAATATTTTTCAAAGGTTACCTTTTTTAGCATCAGGTTTAGCAAGTATCCTTTTTTTTTTCATTTTTCAACTTCTTTTCATTTTTTAACTCTTTTTCCTTTTTTTTTTTATTATATCTAAAAGGTTTCTTTTTTTTTTTATTATTATATTTTTTTATTATATTATTGTATTTTTTTTATTTTATTATTATATTTTTTTATTATATCTAAAAGGTTTGTTTAAATCATAGTTTGTGCATATTTTTCAATTTTATATATATACTATATTTTAATATACTATATTTTTTGAGTCTATATCAAATGCTGATGGTACTAGGTTTGTCATACTTGTATCCAGTTTTTTAGTTTTTACTTTCTGCATCTCGAAATTTCCAAAATTTTCATAATTTTTAGCAATAATGGGGTACAATAACAAGAAAACTGTTTAAAATCAGTTAAAAAGAACTGCAAAAATATATTATTTAGGTAAACCTATGGGTGATCAAAACCTGAAGCAAATTCAATGTGGTATCCTGAGGTGGTATTCTGGGACCACTAGGTGATTTGATAGATGTATTATGGGGATATTATTTAAAGTGGTTTTGAAGATTTCATGGAAAAGAAAAAATGACTTATTAAACAGAAGTCAGAAACTATCTTTTTAATACTTAAAATAGAAAAATTAACATAAACAGATTTTTTAAATTACCTCTACAAGTTTCCTTTTAGGATCAAATCTTTGCAAAATATCTTTGGCAACTTTGTATGTTTCTGTTTCCATTACATTTTCTAGCTACACAAAAAATTTCATAAACTTTTATACAATGGTTAAGAAATATAATAAAAATGGTCAAAAAAAGACTGCAAGCCAAACCTTAACTCTCTATAAATATATGTAATGAACCGTCATACCCTTCACACCCATCACACCCTACCCCTTTTTTCTTTTCCTTTTTCATAAAGACAGAAACTTAAGTGACATTTTATGTACAGCTAAGTCTATTTGTAATAAACCACTTTCATTTTAGAAAAGTTTACTACTCTTTGGCACTCTTTTAAACAAAACTTGCTCTAATCATACTTTACCATTAGATTATACATTTTTATCAAACTAGTGGATTATTTTTGTTAAACCATGGATTATAAGGGTTAGTGAGAATTTATTAGTGAGATATTTCTATCATTAATAATATTTTATTTCTATCAATATCAAATCTATAAAGCAACATGTGAAATTAATAAATCAAAGAGTTAGTAAGAATTTATTAGTGAGATATTACATATTTCTATCATTAAAAGCAATATTGAATTTATAAAGCAATTTGACAAATTGATGACAAATCAAATGATTAAATTTTTGTTAACAACATAATCTTGTCATGGTCATGAATAATCCTAATAACACTAATAAAACATTAAAAAATCTTATTTAACATTGTAACATTGACTTATTTTTAGATTTATATATATATATATATATATATATATATATATATATATATATATATATATATATATATATATATATATATATATATATATATATATATATATATATATATATATATATACTTATATTTGCATGGTCATACAAAGAAACTCCAAAAGTAGCAATGCTAATATATTTATCCTGTTAATGGATGCTTTTCAGTTATATTAAACTTGTCAAATCACTTTAAAAATTCTCATCTGGAAATATTTAATAATACAAAGCTCTATGGTAAAATAGGAAAAAAAGCAACAGTTATGATTAGCTATAAAGAAGTAAAAATTGTTATATTTAAGTCTTAAATATTTATTCTATAACAATAAAAATTATTTATTCTATAACAGTAAAAAATATTTATCTTATAACAAAAAAAAATATTTATTCTATAACAATAAAAAATATAAAATACATAATTGTTATATTTAAAATTATATAAAATACACCAGCCACTTTAAGTACATATTCAATTTATATTCAAGATTTTAAGTCTATATTAAGAGTTTAAGTCTTTGTTAATTAAACACTCAAAAACTTGATTAGATAAGAAAACTATTAGGACAAATAAAGATTAAAACTAAATTTTTACAACAACTTAGCAACTAATCAAACATATTTCATTTTAAAACACTGTAACTGTATAACTTAAGCAACTGTATAACTTCATTACAATACAATAAAAAAAAACTAAAAACCAAAAAAATAAAAAGATGAATTATAAATTAAAACTTATGATTTGTGATAAGGTGTGGCACTAATAAAAAAATTTCTCTAGCCTTTTTAATTTTTTCAAATTTTTATCTCCTTTATCTTGGTTGTTAGACTTTTCCTTTTTTATTTAATATTATCTCAAAAACTTAAAAATAAATTAATTTTGCTAAAGTGGCAGTAAATTATTAGATTAATGTCATATTTAAATTATGTTTATTCAATACACAGCATTATTAAGATATAAACCAGTATAAAGTTTGTCTTTCAACAATATGAATGACTAGATTAGATGATGAAAATCTTTTATTAAAAATCAAAACTAAACTATTTTTAGATGTCACAAGAAAAATAGCATATCTGTATCAAAAAACATCAATAAAAACCAAAAATATTAAAAAAAAAACTAATCAATCAAAATTAAATAAAACTTTGGACTTTTGGAAAAAACTCAAATAAAACTTTTATGGGTAAACACTGTCTGAATAATGGCTTAAGATTGATGAGCAAATTTTTTATCATTTTTACCTTTGCTATATTAGACAGGTCTTATTCTGCTAATGCAAGAACAACAGCTTATGTCAACAAAATAGGGCAAGAGAGGGTTAAAATTTTTTGACAAAAGGGGGAGGTCAAGTCAAATTAACCCCAACCTGCAGCTCATAAGCCTTTGTTAAGATAAAATTCTTTAGCTCCATGCATAAATACTAATATAATATTGAAATAAATATGTTGGTTGCTCTTTATAAACTGAAAAATATAGTAAACTGTAACTTTTGGTTCTACTTTTTTTTTGCCTGGTTTTTATTATTTTTTAAATGCATTTTTTGTTATACTAGAATATAATGTAAATAGTTAGGTTTCATTGTGATATTGGATTAGGTTTAAAATAAAAGTGGGATGGTTTGGCACATTCACCGGTTGTGACTGCACAGTGCATAAATTATGATATATATTTAATTCTATCGTTGTATGTGATACATTTAATATAAGGCATGCTATCGGAAAAATCTGCCCACCTTTCTTGATCAAAAAAGGATGTAAGAAAGCTTAAATGTATTTAAACCAATATATTTCTGAAAAATTAAGACTGTAAAGATTACATATTAGCAGGGGAAAAACAAAAAAAGGTTTACAGAAAATTCTGACTTTCTTTTTGATGCCTCCTTTTGATTTTACTGTTTTACCATTAATTTTTATTTCTTTTTTATGATGGCCCAATATTTTTCAATAAGACATAATTCGAGGCAGTTTGGAGGATTCATCTTTTTCGGAACCAACATCACTCAATTATCATCGTAAAACTTTTGAGCATCTTTTGAGTAATGTATTGTGGCTAAATCAGGCCAAAACAATACTGAAGTACTTCTATGAGCTTTAATTAGTTGTTTTATACGAGAAAGACAACATTTCACACATTCCGAAGATTTCATTGTGCCCAAACAAACATCGATTGGCAATTTTTTGCCGCAAGAGCAAAAAATTGCCAATCGAAAAACTGCCAAATCATCAATTTTTTCGAAAATTTATCAGTCATTACCTATTTGTATTTAACACTCACATTTCCTCTTATTTTTGAAGCAGAGTAGCACTGCCCAGGGATTTGTTTAAAATCCATTTTAACATAAGTTGCGTCATCCATCAAAATGCATCCATTTTATTTTGTTAACAAGTTGTCATAAAACTTTCGAGCTCGACTCTTTGTGGTTGAATTTTGTTTATAAAACATTTTACTACTTTAAAACTTTGATACCCAAGTCTCTGTTGCCATTTATGAAACCTTCAGTTTTTTCGCTCAAAACCTATCAGACCAATCAGGATGTTCTTCCAATGAAGTCTCTAACCGTTCGAGAGCTCTAGGATTTGCTGTGCGTTTTTTTTCGACCACTTCCTTGTTTTCTCTGAATAGTTTTCTGTTCTGTAAACGTTTAAGAATAGTATCTACAGTTCTTCTTGATATTTTTAATGATTTCGCCAACTTTCTATTTGATAAAGTTGGATTTTTCAAGTGTTTGTCTACAATCAAAAATCTTTGTTTAGTTTGCTTGGTTGACATTTTGAAACTAAATAATATTTTTAATTATTTTTTTCTGTCAAAATGTTTTATTATACAAACACTATCACACACAAAAAAATAATTTCAAAAAATGACCGTTAACTAGCTTTACCACACCGCAAAAGGTGGGCAGATTTTTCCGATAGCATGCCTTATAAAACAAAACAAGTAAAACAAAGAAAAATTATAAAAAATGAATTAAAAAAAAAAAACATTAGTTAAACAATTAAAATAAGTAATAACTTATTAACATTTATCTTAAAAAATAAATTTAAATAAACAGAAAATAAATCAAGGAAAAGGGAAAAAAAAAAAAAAACAACTATTAACTCAATAAAAAAAATGATTTTAAAAGAAGGATAGGTGGCTTTGAGTGTTGATGTAATTTTATAGGAAGAGGAAAGGGGTCTCCGTAAAATTGACAAGTTATTTACAAGAAAGAGGGGGAGGTAAAATTTCCTAAAAATTGTTGACCTAATTATTGGATAGTTCCTTAGGACTAATTACCTAAGCCTGGACAGTTGCATGATCAATATTACCCTGATGACCATGCACCTGACCTGTCTAAAAAGCTAAAAACCTTAGGTCAACTCGATCACCCTGCTATTGGTAACAAGTAATCCAGTGAAACCTGTTCCACACATTCGGCAATGCCGAGGCAAAAGTCAACCTATTTTGCTTTAGGACGGCATACAACTGCCGCCCTGCTGCCATTCTTTTGCATTCGGCATTGCTGTTGCTATAGTGAACCTATTTTGCTTTAGGACGGCATACAACTGCCGCCCTGAATGTCCTAAAGTGTTGACATGCAAATTGAAATACATGTATAAAATATATAATATTAGTTAAATATTATTTAATAATTTTTTTATTGTAAATATACACATAAACTAAATTTGAATTTCTAAATGACATTCTTTCTATGAGCAATCTAAAAATCCAATTAAAATGTACTAAATAAACTATGACAATTTTTTTAGTAAAAAACAACAACACCAAATCACAAACTTTTTTTTTTTAAATTTTTTTTTGCCGACCTGACGTATATATATATATATATATGTATATATATATATATATATATATATATATATATATATATATATATATATATATATATATATATATATATATATATATATATATATATATATATATATATATATATATACATATATATATATATATTTATATATATATATATATATTTATATATATATATATATATATATATATATATATATATATATATATATATTTATATATATATATATATATATATATATATATATATATATATATATATATATATATATACATATATATATATATATATATATACATATCAAGCATGTCGTAAAATTTTTTTGAATAAAAAATATTCTTCTTTTGAGTACCAGATTGACATATTTTTGAAAAAAAATTTTTTGAAAATAATAGAGACCCATTAAATACTTGAGGGTTATGAGGGTCCCCTTAAAATATTTTTTATTCAAAAAATTTTTACAACTATATGCTTGTGCTTCCTTGATATATATACATATATACATATATACATATATATATGCTCCTGTTAATGCTTTTGGTCCATAATGTTGAGGTCACATAAAGAATCCTTAAGACACTTTGGGTTAATTAGTAGGATTAAGACAACTGCATAGCTCATTGCTTGAGATGTTGTGCACTATATAAATGAATCAAGTTCTCTTTATATTTAAATCATGCCAAAAGAAACCTTAAATATTAAATATAAAAAACCAGCCCCACCACCTAACCTTTTTAATATATCTTTTACAAATACTAGTGGTCTGTACTAGTGGTCTGCAAAGCATTATTAAATCAGCTAAATCCTTCCTATCAAAAAATTTACCAGACTTGCTCTTTGTGAGACTAATTTAAATTTGACTACTCCTTCTTCAGATCTTAGTGTCAATGGGTACTATTCTTTGATTCACTAAAAATTCAACAGTCATATGCTTGTCTTGGGGATTCACATAGGCACAAATTCACCTATTCAAGCCCTCTGTGGGAAATAGCTACAGTTTTTTGTCTTATGTATGTCTACACATAAGTTTTTGTTTTAGACAACTTGGTCATGGCTGTTTGCAAGTTTTATTATATTAAGCAATTCATTACTTAAAAAAACAAAATTTTAAAAACAAAATTTGAATGTAACAAGTATAAATTGTCTCTATATAAATACATCTATGTAATGCATATGTATATGTTTATATACACTCACGTTTTCATAAAGTTTGGTAATGATTCATTGGCCTTCATGCAAGATTCTGCACCTGCTCACAGTGCCAAGAAAACTGCGGCCGTTCTAAGAGAATATTCCTCATTTGTGAGCACCGGACATGTGGCTTACTTTTACCCCAGATATGAACACCATGGACTTTGCCATTTGGGGCTTCATGGAGCCCAAGAAGGCCCTCAAAACATATCCGAATTTGGCAGTTCTCAAAGCAGAAGTAACAAAGATATGAAAGAATCTGTCCGGATATGGTGCGATGAAGCTGCAATTCAGTGCCTGGGTGTCTAAAGAGTTTAATAGATTCCAGAGGAGGCTATATTGAACAATATTGAACTTTTGTAGATTAATGTTTTATTTTTCTGTGATCAAACAATTAGTGATTTAATACAAATGTTTTTTAAAATATTCAAATTTATTTTTTACTGTGATAACCTGCGCACCCTTGTATATCCAAAATATATAAACTAAATATAAAAAAATATAAAAGAAAAGAAAAAATTAATTAAAATATTATAGCATTTTGAACTAAATGCCGTAAACAAAGTAAAAGTCACAAAATAATAAAACAATTTAAAACATCTTACTATTCTTTTCTTTTCTTTTTTCAAGTTAGCAAGAGTTCTAGCTAAAAATATAAATTAGAAAAACTATTAAAAAACTTTTCAAGCTACCAAAAGTTCTTGTTAGAAACATAAAATTATAAAATTAAAAACACAAAATTTTAGCCAATGATTTTGTGTTTTGTCTAAAACTCTGGTGCAATGTTTACTCACCCGTAAGTTGCTAATTGTAAGTTTGTGTTCTGTCTGAACCTCTGGCATGTGAGAAAAAATTGTTAAAGGGCAAAGGAATGGTTGACAAAAGACCGACAAATTTGTAGGTTGTAAAATATGAAAAAACATGAAGATGGGAAATTGAGCTCCAATGAATTAATATGTGAGGAAAGAAAGTAGATAAATAAAAGTTTTAAAAGCAAAAATTTGCTGAATGAATTTTGGTTGATGGAACTATAGATAATAGCTCATTTGAGCATTAACAATATTATTATTTGTAGAAAATAGAAAAAGATGCAACCTTACAATGATTGAACAGTGGCTAATGCAGAACTCTTGGTGATGCCATTCATCAATTAAAGAATATCAAGGTCCAACTAAATTTACAAAAAAAAGTTAATTGGTTGGTTCTTATAATAATGAGAAAGAGCATTATTAAAAGAACCAGCCCAAGTATGACAATAAGAAAAATACGAGATTGGTAGAGTTCCTACACAGGAACAAATAAGAGATTGGTGGAGGATGGAATCAGGAGAAGAGGATTTGTAAACACAATAAAGAGAGGCAACCTTGGCAGATGCTAATTCAAAATTAATTGTGAATGATAGTCCAAGTAGACATAAAGTAGACTCAGAGAGAGTGTTGCCATTCAATATATAAATTTCATTGTTTTATTGAAGTAAAAAATCAAAAAAGTGCTGTGGATTTCCCCTCTTACCTGTGTTTCCATTCTTATCATCTTGCCTCTACCTGTTTTCCCTGATTTAAATTAAAGTTACCCAAACTCAACTTCACAATAATAAGAATTAGAAAAATGCACTTTAATTACAAAAATATAAACAATAATACAACCCAAAATAAACGTATCAAGAAAAATTCCTAAAAAATTCCTAAAAAAATTCCTAAAATCTGCTAAATAAAACTTTATA